TCCTCTCAGGAGTTTGGGCACATGTGCACACTCTCCCAGCAGTTTTCAAGTCTCTGGGCCCAGGACTGGAACTATGCAGCCAGCCATGTAGGACCTGCCGTCGGGCCTGGAACCCGCTCTCGGAAGCCCAGGTCACGGCCTGCACCCCAGGCTCAGGTTCCTCCCGCCCTCAGAGGTCTCAGCATGAATGAGGCAGGGTCACACCAACCATCTCCTGGGAGAGGGCTCCTGGGGAAGGAGGGACACTGCCCTGGGACTCCTAGTCTGAGACCGGAGGCCTTCTAGTGCTGGGGAAGGGACAGGCCCCTTCGCCCTGTGTACCCAACTATCCAAGGGACAGGTAGATCCCTTCTCAACAGGACGCCCCAGGGATAGAGAGCTGTGTTGGGTGGTTTGGCCCCAGGAGGAGCAGGTGGGAAATTCTTGGGGAGAGATTTTACCCTGGCGGATCTGGTGGGGAGAGGTGACATTGACCTGAGCCAGGTGAACTTATGTTTTTAAAGGAGAACTAGGCCTTAAAAGGGTTGGAGAATTTGAGATGTGCAAGGGGGATGGGAGTAGCCATGGTCCTGTACACGCGTGGGTGTGTGTCTGCCTAGGGGAAAGGCAATGGGGACTGCACTTGTCCTCAGACCCAGATGGGGAAACTGAGTCAGCAGCCCAGCCCCGCAGCGGATTGGCAAGCCTGAGACCCAGGGCCCTGGCTCCCTCCCTTTCCCCTCTTCGCAGGGCCCCCGCACATACCGAGTGAAACTGTAGATCTGTTGCACGTTGAGGCCCCGGGGGGGACTGTTTCTTAATGCCAGGGCAATTAGATGGAAGTAATTGAGAGGGGGCCGGGGCCACAGCCTCCCCTCCTGGCTGTTGGCTTGCAGAAGCCTCCGTCTCTGGAGGGGGGCCCTTTTGTGGGGGGACGGGAGGGCCACAGAGGAGCTGTCATCCCGGTCCTCAGCCTCCTCCTCTTCTGTGAGCTAGAGGGGCACAGAGTAGGAACTGGTCCTGACTCCTTAGCCTCTACTCCAGGGGTGCAGTGGCAGAAGGGGGTGGTGGGCTACAGCTACCATCTGGACAGCTCCCCAACCCAAGGGCAGATGTAGCTTCCTGACCCAGTGACCTTCCGCTATCCCTAAGCAGTGGGGCTCTGCACCAGCCCTGCACCCACCCTGCCCACATCCGCCTCTCAGCCCCGGAAATCCACACCTCCCAGACGCCAGGGGAAGAGATGGACCGTTTCCGCTTCCGTGGAGGAGTCCGCTCGCCGGAGGAAAGTGGCAGCGATTCCACTTCGGTGGACTCCGAGCAGCTGGCATCTTCATCCTTTGGGGGTGGCCGAGGGGAGGAGAGTGTGCTTGTCAGCTCTTCCTTCTTACTATATGCTGCGACTTCCAACTTTCCGAGGGGGTACACGATGTTGGGGTTCACCCACATCCACAGGTTAGG